AGATTCAAACGATTATAGACCATTTTACCAAAAAGCCTGATATAGAATATACCGATGATCAGGACAATTCTTCAGATAATTTACCTGAAGCTGAGTTAAGTGAGGAAGCCAAGAAAACTTTACCGGGAACTAAGATAAGTGTATTGCCTGAGAAAGTATTACCAGAAATCGAGATATTAGACACAAAAGCTAATGATAGTAAACCACAATCTTTAATTACTGCTTTATCCGATGATTAGCCAGAAAATTTCTCTGATGATGATGATTCCTTCAATAACAATGAAGATGATGGGAGTTTTGTGGTTTTTTTGATGACGATGATAAAGGTTATTATTATGATTTCAATACTGGTAAAACTTATACAAAATCAGAACATCGTTATTTAATCTGCACATATTAGATACAGAATATCTGCTTCAAAGGCAATATACATTTTATAAGCGATGCATTCAGCATCTGTGCCTATATATTTTATTGTTACAATAAAGCGAATTTATTTTTTATCCTGAATTTATTTTTATTTTTTCTTAGTATTTTTTGACGAACATTTGTTCTCTGAAATTTTGCCACGTATATTTTCCACAATCGATACGTGATTATGCTACGAAAAGTCAATATCTAATTTGAATTGATTTACGATCATATAAACCATTAATATGGAAGAGCAAAGCGCAGAATCAAAAACTCATAAAACACTAACTCCTGAATATTTGGGATGGGAAGCTGAAATTACTATAGCGCCAGATATTTTGATAGATGGGATTCTTTCCAAGTTGTATAAACGTTATGAGAAAGAAACCGGCCTTGATCCTTGGATAAACTCTGAATCTTCATAAATAATGACAAATATACAACCCAAAATTGATTTATTAGAATTGGTGTTAGAGCAGTCTTTAGATCTTTGGAATGAGATAAGAACATTCCCTAAAGAAATGATTTATGAACGAGTTCTTGAATCCAGATCATTCGAAGATAAAGAGATCAATGAATTGGTAAAGAAATTACAACTCAATCTTTGCCTTCTTTTTATTGATAGAGCAAGTTATTGCGATATATTCTATAATTTAGTACCTGAATTAGAAAAGAAAATAGATGAATTAAAAAATGAGAATATCAA